CTTTCTCCTTCAATTCGGTTTTGATCTTAGTTATATCTTGTCTTCTGCTAGCCTTTGAATTTGTTTGCTCTTGCTTCTCTAGTTCTTTTAATTGTTGATTTTAGATCTTTTCTGCTTTCTCGTCTGGGCATTTAGTGTTATAAATTTCCTTCTAAACATTGTTTTAGCTGTGTCCCAGAGATTCTGGTAAGTCGTGTCTTCGTTCTCATTGACTTCAAAGAATTTCTTTATTTCTGCCTTAACTTCGTTATTTACCCAGTAGTCATCCAGGAGCAAGTTGTTCAGTTTCCATGTAGTGGTTTTGAGTGAGTTTCTTAATCCTGAGTTCTAATTTTATTGCACTGTTGTCTGAGAGACTGTTTGTTATGATTTCCATTCTTTTGCATTTGCTGAGGAGTGTTTTACTTCCAATTATGTGGTCAATTTTAGAATAAGTGCTATGTGGTGCTGAGAAGGATGTATATTCTGTTGATTTAGGGTGGAGAGTTCTGTAGATGTCTATTAGGCCTGCTTGGTCTATTAGGCCTGAATATCTTTGTTAATTTTCTGTCTCATTGATCTGTTTAATATTAGCACTGGGGTGTTAAAGTCTTCCACTATTATTGTGTGGGAGCCTAAGTCTCTTTGTAGGTCTCTAAGAACTTGCTTTATGAATCTGGGTGCTTCTGTATTGGATGCATATATATTTGGGATAGCGCTTCTTGTTGCATTGATCCCTTTACTGTTATGTCATGCCCTTCTTTGTCTTTTTTTGATCTTTGTTGGTCGAAAGTCTGTTTTAGCAGAGACTGGGAATGCAACTCCTGCTTTTTTGTTTTCTTGCTTTCCATTTGCTTGGTAAATCTTCCTCCATCCCTTTAAATTGAGCTAATGTGTGCCTTTGCATGTGAGATGGGTCTCCCGAATACAGCACACTGATGGGTCTTGACTCTTTATCCAATTTGCCAGTCTGTACCTTTTAATTGGGTCATTTAGCCCATTTACATTTAAGGTTAATAGTATTATGTGTGAATTTGATTCTGTCATTATGATGCTAGCTGTTATTTTGCCCATTAGTTGATGCAGTTTCTTCATAGTGTTGATGGTCTTTACACTTTGGTTTGTTTTTGCAGTGGCTGACTGGTAACAATTTTTCCTTTTCCATATTTGGTGCTTCCTTCAGGATCTCTTGTAAGGCAGGCCTGGTAGTGACAAAATCCCTCAGCGTTTGCTTGTCTGTAAAAGATTTTATTTCTCCTTCACTTATGAAGCTTAGTTTGGCTGGATATGAAATTCTGGGTTGAAAATTATTTTCTTTAAGAATGTTGAATATTGACCCCCCACTCTCTTCTGGCTTGTAGAATTTCTGCAGAGAGATCTACTGTTAGTCTGATGGGCTTCCCTTTGTGGATAACCCAACCTTTCTTTCTGCTGCCCTTAACATTTTTTCCTTCATTTCAATCTTGGTGAATCTGATGCTTATGTGTCTTGGGGTTGGTCTTCTCGTGGAGTGTCTTTGTGGTGTTCTCTGTATTTCCTGAATTTGAATGTTGGCCTGTCTTGCTAGGTTGGCAAAGTTCTCCTGGATAATATCCTGAAGTGTGTTTTCCAACTTGGTTCCATTATCTCCGTCACTTTCAGGTACATCAATCTAATGTAGGTTTGTCTTTTCACACAGTCCCATATTTCTTACAGGCTTTGTTCCTTCTTTTTTTTCTAATCTTGCCTTCACACTTTATTTCATTAAGTTGACCTTAATCTCTGATATCCTTTCTCTGCTTGATCAATTTGGCTACTGATACTTGTGTATGCTTCACGAAGTTCTCGTGCTGTGCTTTTCAGTTTTGTCAGGTCATTATGTTCTTCTCTAAACTGGTTATTCCAGTCAGCAATCCCTCTAACCTTTTATCAAGGTTCTTGGCTTCCTTGCATTAGGTTATAACATGCTCCTTTAATTCAGTGGAGTGTGTTATTACCCACTTTCTGAAGCCTACTTCTGTCAATTTGTCAAACTCATTCTCAATCCTGTTTTGTTCTCTTGCTGGAGAGGAGGTGTGATCCTTTGGAGGAGAAGAGGCATTTGGTCTTTGGAATTTTCAGCTTTTTTGTGCCAGTTTTTCCTCATCTTCAAGGATTTATCTACCTTTGGTCTCTGCTGTTGGTAACCTTCGGATGGAGTTTTTGCATGGTTATCCTTTCTGTTGATGTTGATGCTGTTGTTTTCTCTTTGTTAGTTTTCCTTCTAATAGGCCCTTCTTCTGCAGGTCTGCTGGCGTTTGCTGGGAGTCCACTTCAGACCTTGTTTGCCTGAGTATCACCAGCAGAGACTGCAGAACAGAAAAGAATTCTGCCTGATCCTTCCTCTGGAAGCTTCGTCTCAAAGGAGCACCTGCCAGATGCCAGCCAGAGCTCTCCTGTGTGAGGTGTTTATCAACCCCTGCTGGGAGGTGTCTCCCCATCAGGAGGCACGGGGGTCAGGGACTCACTTGAGGAAGCAGTCTGTTCCTTAGCCGAGCTTGAGCACTGTTCTGGGAGATCCACTGCTCTCTTCAGAGCCAGCAGGCAGGAATATTTAGGTCTGCTGAAGCTGTGCCCATGGCTACCCCTTCCCCTAGGTTCTCTGTCCCAGGGAGATGAGAGTTTTATCTGTAAGCTCCTGACTGGGGCTGCTGCCTTTCTTTCATAGATGCCCTACCCAGATAGGAGGAAGCTAGAGAGGCAGTTTGGCTACACTGGCTTTGTGGTACTGTGGTGGGCTCTGCCCAGTCTAAATTTCCCAGTAGCTTAGTTTACCCTGTGATGGAAAAACTGCCTACTCAAGCCTTAGTAATGGCAGACGCCCCTCTGTCCACCAAGATCAAGCATCCCAGGTCAACTTCAGACTGCTGTGCTAGCAGTGAGAATTTTAAGCCAGTGGATCTTAGCTTGCTGGGCTCTGTAAGGGTGGGATCTGCTGAGCTAGATCACTTGCCTCCCTGGCTTCAGCCCCCTTTCCATGGGGGTGAACAGTTCTGTCTCACTGGCATTCCAGGCACCACTGGGGTATGAAAAACAACTCCTACAAGTAGCTGGGTATCTGTCCAAAAGGCTGCACAATTTTTTGCTTGAAACCTAGGGCCCTTGTGGTGTAGGCACCCAAGGGAATCTCCTGGTCTGTGGGTTGTGAAGACCATGGGAGAAGCATAGTATCTGAGTCATATAGCACCATGACTCACTGCATGGTCCCTGACAGCTTCCCTTGACTAGGGCAGGGAGTTCCCCGGCCCCTGAATTTCCCAGGTGAGGCAGTGCCCCACACTGCTTTGGCTTGCCCTCCATGAGCTGCACCCACTGTCTAATCAGTCCCAATGAGATGAACTGGATACCTCAGTTGAAAATGCAGAAATCCCTGCTGTCTGCATTGTTCTTACTGGGAACTGTACACCAGAGCTGTTCCTATTCAGCCATCTTGCCCAGGAAGCTCATAAATCATTTATTATTATTATTATTATTATTATTTATTATTATTTGAGATGAAGTCTTGCTTTGTTACCAGGCTGGAGTGCAGTGGCGCAATCTTGGCTCACTGCAACCTCCGCCTCCTGGGTTCCAGTGATTCTTCTGCCTCAACCTCCTGAGTAGCTGGGACCACAGGCATGTGCCACCACACCCTGCTAATTTTTTTGTATTTTTAGTAGAGACAGCGTTTCACTGTGTTGGCCAGGATGGTCTCAATCTCTTGGCCTCGTGATCCGCCTGCCTCGTTTTTTAATTTTTTTAAACTAACTTTTGAATATTTCACATTAGGCTGATCACATTTCAGGTGCTCAATAGCCACATGTGGCTAGTGGCTATCATACTGGATAGGACAGCTCAAAAATATGCTCTCAATTCTGATGTTTTAAAAGAAATCTAGGTTAACTGGATTCTAAACAGAATAATCAGATCTGGAAACCAGTATAAGCAGGAAATAGAGGAAACATGAAGTTAGCTTGGTGATATGTATTTCTAAGAAGACAAAAGGAATAACTGAGAGACATCTTCAAATATGTGAATTGCTGTTACAGAAGAAAAACAGACTTGTGCTATACTACTCCTTAAAGTGACTACATAAGAGACAAGCAGAATCCAGGTTTGACCTAGAATGATCCTTCTCATACTCTAATTAAAATTATACAGATTATCCATGGGATCATTTAACATGCAAGGTGCATTGATTACATCACTGTCACGAATGAGTCAGCCCTTACAAATCCATAACCCTTTCCATGCAATTTTGCAATGACCTCCCACTCCAGCTGAGGCATTCTGTCCCTCTTCTGTCTCTGGGCTTGACCATGTGACTTTGCATTGCTAATGGAAAATTAGTCAACTCAATACAAAAAAAAAAAAAAAGATTTTAAAATGAACTAAGGGATTTCCACTTTTATTTTTATTTTAGCCCTCTTCCATAATTACGAAGAAGCCATAACTAGACCTTCCCACAAGGCCATCTTAGATCATATGAGAATCAGCTGACCCCTGAGGTATGTGAATACAGCCAAGATTATCTAAACAGCCCAACAGATCCAAGACTGACTTGGTAAAGATCAGCCGAGACCACGCCCATATCCTCTGAACCCTCAGAGGAGCAAGCTCAGGAGCTAAGTAAGTGTTTATTGTTAGATACCACTGAGGTTTTAAGGTTGTCTTTTATGCATTGTTGCATAATAAACAGCTTACATAGCATTTTTCTTTTAAAATTTATCAGCCAGAAAATTTCTCATCTTTGGACAACATGTTATACATTTAAGTCCCCATTTTTTTCTCCAGCATTATATGAATTCCAAGTTTCTTTTCATAGAGATGGTATAAAACCAGCAAAAAAAAAGAATTTTCTTATTTTTCTTCCTTATTTTAGTGACAATGGACCTGGATTATAAAAGTATAGACACGAAGAACCTCCTATTAAGACGCGGGATATTACATTTATACAGTTAACTGTAATGTTTAATCTGTGACAACTGGGAAAAGATTTATAAATTGTAGTAAATTAGTCTTACCTGAGCTGCTGTAAAGTTTGCCAAAAAATAATTTCCATTTTCATAGGTATCTGCAAACAAGGAAAAGAAAAGAATAAACATCTACTAGTTGCTTCAATTGCAGCAAATAATCTTGTGCACAGTCAGAAAATATCTCAATAGGGTCACAATTAGTGATGATTGTCACCTCTCTGGGGAGTACTGAACATAGTGGCTAAGGGACTATTTCACTGCATGTTAGTGTTGGGATATGCAAATGGAAATGGGTACCTTGCTGTGGAGGTCAGAAGGTTACAAATGTGAGAGAATCTGGATTGAATTAAAGACAGATTCCATAGCTGCAGTGTAGAGACTACTGTTGGGTTATTCTCTGTGACTACTACCAAACACGTAGTCGGGAGTTCACATAGCTATGATGTTAAAGGCTATGATGATAAAGCAGAGGTGAGTGGTTAGGAATTTAGGCTCCCAATTTAGACATGGATTGAAATCCCAACTCTTTCAAAGTTGTGCAACCTCAGACAATTTACTTAACATTTTATCATCTATAGAATGGAGACAGTAGTACCCAGTTAATGGCAGCAAGGTATATAACATTATGCTTGTGCAGAATAAGTGCTTAAAATTGATTGCTCACTACCAAAAATTGGTCTTAAGAATAAAAGCAATTCCAGTCAAAATTCCAGAAGATGGTCTTGTTGTTAAAAATTGACAAGCTGATTTTAAAACCTGTGTGAAATACAAAACAGCTAAAATAACCAATGCAATTTTTAAAAAGAAGAACATGAAGAGTATTTCCTTCTAGGATTTTTATAGTTTGAGGTCTTACATTTAAATCTTTAATCCACCTCAAGTTAATTTTTGTATACAGTGAAAGGTTCTAAATAAAATGTGCCATTAATATGTAAAATAAATTAAAAACTCTATTCTAAACTTTTAATATGAGACACTTTACATTAAAATTAGCATGTTTAGCTTATGAAAACAAAATGAAAATAAATAAGTAAATAAATATCACACACTGGGGACTGTTGGGGGTGGGAAGCTAGGGGCGGGACAGCAGGGGGCCAGGAGGTTTGGGAGGGAGAACACTGGGAGAAATGCTTGATATAGGTGATGGGGGCATGGAGACAGCAAACCATCATGGCATGTGTGCACCTATGCAACAATCCTGCAAGATCTGCACATGTGCCCCAGAATTTAAAGTATAATAAAAAATAATTTTAAAAAATAGGCAAAGGACATGAACACACTCCTCAAAAGAAGACAAGTAAGTGGCCAATAAATGTGAAAATGTTTATCATCACCAATCATTAGAGAAATGCAAATCAAAACCACTATTATTAAGAAGTCAAATAATAATGTATGCTTACAAGGCTGCAGAGAAAAGGAAACACTTAACACTCAAACACTGTTGGTTAAAATGTAAGTTAGTTCAGCAGCTGTGGAAAGTAGTCTGGAGATTTATCGAAGAAGTTAAAACAGAACTACCATTCAACCCAGCAATCCCGTTACTTGACATATACCCAGAGGAAAATAAATCATTTTGCTGAAAGGACCCATGCACTCGTATGTTCCTCGCAGTCCTATTTGCAATTGCAAAGACATGGAATCAACCCAGGTGCTTTTCAACAAAGAATTGGATAAAGAAAAAGTGGTACATTTATACCATGAAATACTACACAGCCCATAAAAAAGATTGAAATCATGTCCTATGCAGCAGGATGGATGCGGCTGGAGGCCACAATCTTAAATTAACACAGAAAGGAAAGCCAAATAATGTATTTTCTTACTTATAAGTGGGAGCTAAACACTGAGTACCTATGAACATAAAGATGGAAACAATAGACACTGCAGGCTACTAGAGGGGGTAATAAGGAATGGGGAACGTGCGTTGAGAAACTACCCATTCGTTACTGTGTTCACTACCTGGGTGATGGGATCCATACCCCAAACCTCAGCATCATGCAATATATCCATGTAACAAACCTGCACATTTACCCTGGATCTAAAATAAAAGTTGAAATTATAAAAATAAATTTAAAAGAAAAATAAAAAGAAGAACAAAGTAGGATAAGTTGTCCAACCTAATTCTATCACCAACTATAAAGCTATGTTAGTCAAGACAGTATGGTATTGGCTTAAGGAAAATAGATCATATAAATCAATGAAACAGAATAAATAATCAAAAAAACAAAAACCCTCTCAAACATAACCTACTGTTATTTGACAAAAGTGACAAGATAATAAAAATGGGAAAAGACTGTGCTTTCAAAAATGTGGTGCTGGAACAACTAGATAAATATATGAGAAAAAATGGAATTTGGCATACACATATACATACACACATAAAAATTTCATGAAAAATAGATGATGTTCTTCAGTGTGAAAGCTAAAACTTTAAAACTTTCAAAAATAAAAAGAACCTACATACCCAAAGCAAGGCTAAGCAAAAAGAACAAATCTGGAAGCATCACATTACCTTACTTCAAACCATTCTATAAGGCCATAGTCACCCACATAGCATGGTACTAACATAACAACAGGCACATAGACCAATAGAACAAAATAGAGAACCCAAAAATAAACCCAAATACTTAACAGCCAACTGATCTTTGACAAAGCAAACAAAAATATCAAGTGGGGAAAGGTCGCCCTATAGAACAAATGGTGCTAATTGACAAGTCACATGTAGAAAAATGAAACTGGATCCTCATCTCTAACCTCATACAAAAATAAACTCAAGATGGATCAATAACTTAAATCTAAGACCTGAAACTGTCACAATTCTAGAAGATAACTTCAGAAAAACCCTTCTAGACATTGGCTTAAGCAAAGACTTCATGAGCAAGAACCCAAAAGCAAATGCAACAAAAACAAAGATAAATAGGTGGGACTTAATTAAACTAAGGAGCTTCTATACAGCAAAAGGAACAGTCAGCAGAGTAAACAGACAACCCATGAAGTGAGAGAAAATCCATAATCAAACATCAAAGGACTAATATTCAGAACGTACAAGAAGCTCAAATAAATTAGTAAGAAAAAAACAAACAATTTCATCAAAAAGTGGGTTAAAGACATGAATAGACAATTTTCAGAAGAAGCTTTACAAATGGCCAACAAACATATGAAAAAAATGTCAACATTAGTAATGATCAGGAAAATACAAATCAAAACCACAATGCAATACCACCTTAATCCTACAAGAATGGCCATAATTTAAAAAACCATAAAATAATAGATGTTGACATTGATGCATGAAAAGGAAACACTTTTACACTGCTGGTAGGAATGTAAACTAGTACAATGACTGTGGAAAACAGTGTGGAGATTCCTTAACTAACTAAAAGTAGAACTACTATTTAATCCAGCAATCCCACTACTGGGTATCTACTCAGAGGAAAAGAAGTCATTACACACAAAAAAAGACACTTGCAGCCAGGTGCAGTGGCTCACACCTGTAATCCCAGCACTTTGGGAGGCCAAGACAGGCAGATCACAAGATCAGGAGTTTAAGAACAGCCTGACCAACATGGTGAAAACCCGACTCTACTAAAATTACAAAAATTAGCCAGGTGTGATGGTGGGTGCCTGTAATCCCAGGTGCTCAGGAGGCTGGGGCAGAGGATTCACTTGAACCCGGGAGGCGGAGGTTGCAGTGAGCTGAGATTGCACCATTGCACTCCAGTCAGGTGACAGAGTGAGACACAGTCTCAAAAAAAAAAAAAAAAAAGATACACTTGACACGCATGTTTATAGCAGTCCAAGTGCCCATCAATCAATGAGTGGATAAAGAAATGGTGGCACATATGTATATGTGTATATATATATATGTATATATGTATATATACATATGTATATGTATATGTGTATATATATGTATATATGTATATATACATATGTATATGTATATGTGTGTATATATGTATATATACATATGTATATGTATATGTGTGTATATATATATGTATATATACATATGTATATATATACACACACACACACACATATATATATATATATATATATATATGATGGGAAAGTACTCAGCCATAAGAAGGGATGAGTTGATGGCATTCGCAGCAACCTGGTTAGAACTGGAGACAATTATTCTAAGTGAAATAACTCTGGAATGGAAAACCGAATATCATATGTTCTCACTCATAAGTGGGAGCTAAGCTATTAAGATACAAAGGCATAAAAATGATACAATAGACTCTGGGGACTTGGGGGAAAAAGGGGGAGGGAGTGAGGGATCAAAGACTACAAATTGGGTTTAGTGTCTATGAAAATCTCACAAATTGCTACTGAAGAACTTACTGATATAACCAATTGCCACCTGTCTTGGCCTATCCCAGGGTTACCATATATATATATATGGTATATATGATTTCCGTATTTCATGTCTTGGCCTACCCCAGGGTTACCATAAACACATAATAAGATGCTCAACATCAAGCTCAATCATAATTAAATGCAAATTAAGTCTGTAATACAATGCACTATATATCTACTAGAATAATTACAATTTTAAAAATTGACAATACTAAGTATTGGTGAGGATGTGAAAAACTAGAACTTTCAATTAATGAATAATAGTGCAGCCACTTTAGAAAATCATTTGGCAATTTCTTCAGAAACTAAATGTGTATTTATTATATGACCTGGCTCAGAAATTCCACTCCCACTTTTTTACCCAAGAGAGATGAAAATGTATGATAACAAAATAATATACATTCAAATAATAATGCCAGATTTATTTTAGTGGTCAAAAGATTAAACCACTGAAATATTCATCAATAAGTACATTGGTCAATAGTCATATGGACTACTACCATGGTAGATACCATGGATTATTATTAGTTAGAAATAAAAAGTAATTAATTCCTTTTACATGCCACAGCATGGATGAATATAAAAAGTACTTTGCTAAGTGAAAAATGCTAAAAATACAAAAATATTACATATTGGATGATTCCATGCATACAAAATCTAGAAAATATAAATCTACGGTGACAGAAAGCAGAACAGTAGTTGCCAGACGCTGGAAGGAAGGATCAAGAGTGGGGAGAAGCTGACTAGAAAGAAGTAGAGCTGTCCCTGGGTATCCATAGGGGGTTGGTTCTAGGACCCTTCAGATATCAAATTCCATGGATGCTCAAGTTCCTTATATAAAATGGTGTGATATTTGCATATAGTGTACACACATCCTCCTGTGTACTTTAAATCATCTCCAGAGTACTTATAATAACTGATCCAATGTAAACACTATATAAATCATCGTTATCCTGTATTGTTTACAAAGTAATAACAAAAAAACATATTTGTACATGGTTAGTACAGATGCAACTATTGTAGGCTAACTACATTTTCAAGCCACAGTTGGATGAATCCGCAAGTGGACTATAAATGGGAAACTTTTGGGGTTAAGAAGATATTCCACATCTTCATTGTAGTAGTGGCTATACAACTGTATACATTTGTCAAAACTTAACTGTATTCTTAAAATGGATATATTTTATTTGTATAAATCATAAGTCTTTTAAAGTTTATTAAAAGACAGTAATATCACTTCCAGGAATCTACTCTATGGACATAATCTAAAATGTAAACAAAGGTTAATACTCAAGGATGTTATTTATGGGCTGGGAACAGTTGCTCATGCCTGTAATCCCAGCACTTTGGGAGGCCGAAGCAGGTGGATCACTTGAGGCCAAGAGTTCGAGACCAGCCTGGCCAACATGGTGAAACCCCATCTCTACTAAAAATACAAAAATTAGTTGGGTGTGATGGCAGGCGCCTGAGCTACTGTGGGAGGCTGAGGCACGAGAATCACTTGAACCTGGTAGAAGAAGTTAAAGTGAGCTGAGATCGCACCACTGCCACCTGGCTGAGAGAGTGAGACTCAAAAAAAAAAAGGAGTTTTTTATAACAATAAAAACTATAACCATCCTGTACATAGCCTCTCAATAGAATATGACCATCATAATGGTATTTATAAGGACTGAATAATAACATTCACATGTTTCTGTCATTATGTTAGAGGAAAATAAACAGGATTCACAAATTAAATATGCAGAATATTTTCAGCCATATTACAAATTAAGCATTTTCTTAATATAAAAGCCAGTTAGTACAGCAAAAATATTAAAAGTGCTTGTTTTTTCCTAATTTTCTATCTTTAACATGTATAATAAAGAATTTCTTTCCTTTAATGAGAATTTCTTATCCTTATAATGAAGGAACCTAAAAGAGAAGGACTCTCTAGAAATATTAGTAGTGAAAAATAAGCTATAATTTCAGAAAATGTGGTATGTTGCAAGATTAGAAGGTTCTGGTCCACAGTAATAAATAATGAAAAGTGAGAGTCAGTCGGTAACGGTGTGTCTGTATTCCTGCAGAAAGGTCTGAGTTAGAGGGTGTTCTGATTATAATGACAAATCCCACTTATCCAAAGTAGAACTAACATGTTCTACCTCAATTAGGGAAAGGAAACATACAGAGTAATATTTCATTGATGTAAGCATCCTTTCGGCAATGCTTTATTCCCAATTTATGAGTCACCAAGAAATTTTCTAACCTCTAAATTGCCTCCTGAGCAGGCCTATTTATGAGGAACTGGATGCCTGGTATAGATGGCTGACCCAAATAATAGAGTCATGTTTCTGTCCCATTGATAATGAATGAACCAATAGCCTGATATTTGTATCCACACGTCTTTTTAAATAAAGGGTGAGACAGTTATACAGAGATAGATCATCCCTGGCTGAATCCATAACAGCAAGTTCCTGAACCTACAAAGCTGGGGACTGTACCTAGCCTATACTAACTATAGCGTAATATAAATGAGCAGGCAAAATTCTCCAGATGTTATTGACTTATTGACAATAGGCAGAGATAGAGGTAGGTTTTCAGTTCATGCTAATTATATGCTGAGCCTCAATGGTATGATTTTTCTGGATGACATACGGGGACCCTGGAAAGTTTACACTCACCAATGCTTTGTCCATCATCCCAGAACATCTGGCCTTCAGCTTTCCCATTGTCATCCAAAGCAACAGTCAATCCCATAAAATTTTGTCGACTACCAAAAAAAAAAAAAGTTATTTTTCTCTAGATTGCGGGTTATAAGAATAAAGAAGAGACTGTGTTAAAAATATTACTTATCCAGAAATAAATGTATTAAATATGTATATAAAGTTCTGAAAATAGATAAAATAGATAAAATATAAAACACTTAAAAGTTAATAGAAAACGGCCAGGTGTGATGACTCACGCCTGCCAAGCACTTTGAAAGGCCAAGGTGGGTGGATCATGAGGTCAGGAGTTTGAGACCAGCCTGACCAACATGGTGAAACCCCTTCTCTATTAAAAATACAAAAATTAGCCAGGCATGGTGGCACACGCCTATAATCCCAGCTACTCAGGAGGCTGAGGCAGAATTGCTTGAACCCAGGAGGCAAAAGTTGCAATGAGCCGAGATCACACCACTGCACTCCAGCCTGGGTGACAGAGTGAGAGTCCGTCTCAAAAGAAAAAAAGAAGTTAATGGAAAACATTTAAAATGTAATAAAACATTTGGTTTCATTTCAATTTCTAAAAATCAAATATACATCCAAGTAATATAATGAAATATTAATTTCATAGGAAGAAAATTCCTCAAAAGAGAATCCTCAGTAGCTTTCAGGTTGCCACAGAATAAAATCCAAAGTAGTTGGCTTGTCATTCACCAACCTGCAGAATTTGATCCTAATCTGCTGGAGTTTTACTTATTTTATCTCTTCCTTTGTCTGTACTCCAGTTAAACTGGATAGCTTACAGTTCCCAAACCCAACCCATTTGGCTTCTTCAGTTCTTTAAACTGACCAGGATCTCTCTGTCCCCTGCCTTTGTACATTCAAATCTCATTCATTATGCAAGATCCAGCTCAAAGCCCTCTTTTATATAAAACCATGTGTTACACTACAAGGCTGAAAGTTAACTTCTCTCCTTTTGAGTTGTTATTGTTTTTATGTGCCTCTCTTGATGTGATGTGTTCTGTCTAATCAATAATTTTAAAAATTTTTACATATTATATGAGTATATTTATATATGTGTGCATCCATATATAAATTAAAACACACACACACGCATCTTTCTCCTTGGTTGACCAGAGTGGACCTAGGAATGAGCACTAAGTCCTTGGGTAGGACAAGAACTCAGTCCTACCTAGTCCTTGTTTGATCACAAATCAAAGAGCTCATTAATATTCCCTATTCCTTTTTAATAGCATGGAAAGAGAAACATTTTTCTGCCTTCAGGAACATTTTTGTTTTTGATACAGCACTACAGACAAAAAACAAAAATCTCCCTAAGAGTAACTTAATGAACTCATCTTCCTCCAGTTCCCACCCAGAAAGCACTCACAGGATCTGATCAATAAAACCTGTTGGCTATTTAGTTTATAATCCACAAATCCCTGGTAAAGATGGGACAGCCTCCTGTAAGGCTGCCTCAGGGCAGTATAGCAAGAGGCTCTTAGACATCACCTCTTCTCCTCACCTGGAGTGAGTGTTCATTGCAGGCTCTTGCCAGGGCAGGATGTAGCCTCCTCTGATGTGAAGGTTGATGTGGTCAAGAGGAGCCTCCAGAATTTTCCACTCGCCTATCGATTTGTTGCTAGTTTCCTAGAAAGGAGAATATAGGCAAACAATGATGAGAGATAAATATATTAAATTAGAGCATGTTTTATTAGAAGTCCTTCCTTTCCTGGGAAACATGTCAGAAAGTCAGCAAAAGACTGCAAACCTAAAGAGAAAATCTCTGGTCTTTCATTTTGCTTAAGACTCTGAAAATCTAGTCTTGTCTTTGTATCTCCAGAAAAGTTGAAAGGCAAGGGCAGGAGTGAGTGGGGAGCTTCAATGTGATATAGGTACTCAGATTTTATCTATGCTCTTATAATACATGCTTTCATTTAAACAAACCTTGCCAAGGCTAAAAATGTCATAAATTGTTGCCTTAGGAAATATGTACTTGGAAGTAGGAGGAGGCTCCATCCACCTCTCCACCCTGCATAGCCCAACCTGGTTCTTCACAAATATATTAGTTCTTACCGTGCTATAGTCATACCAAAGCGCTTTGGGAAAATAAGCAGAGATCTCAAATGTGCTCTGAAACATAAAATTGATATGTGATTATGAATATTTCAATAAAAATTTTTCATTTTCTTTTTCAAAACACTATGTAGAATTAAGATAAAAATGAAAATTTTATTAGTGATTGCAATAATTTGAGAGATTTTATAAAGAAAAATCCTGAAAAATCCTTCCTCAAAACTACAGAAAAATGTATTTTTAAAAATTAAATTGTAAAAGGGTACACACAATGACAAAATTTTTAAAAGAGAAATCAGTCAGTGTTGTAAAGATCTCATTAACATAGATCTTATAAAAAAGAAAAAGATCTCCTGTAGATGTCCTAGAAAGACATTCCCTGGAAATAGTTAGCTGGACAAAACAAGATAATCTTTAAAATGCTTTTCCCATGATTTTAGATAATGTGATTGAAAGGTTTCTGATCTACAATGAAGAACTCACACGTTCCAACACAGGGCTGATTAAGATGGCAGGGCCCAACATGAATTGACGGTCTACATCCCATGTTGTCTTATCATCCGTAAACCTTACAAAATAAGCGGGAAAAATTCACCTATCCTCTTATGACTGTTACAGAGGACTATTTAGAACTGCTGCTTGGGGAAAGAGGCTGAACTCACTCATGGAGAAGGGGCCGGACAACAGTGCTGCCCTCAATGTGAGCTTTATGCATCAGAGTATAGAGATAAGGAAGCAGAGTGTATCTAGTCTCCAGGACTTTTCTGGACAACATCTCAAAGGTTGAATTCCAGGCCACAGGATCTTGTCTCTGTAGGGATAAAGGACCATACAATAGATCACCTCATTTTCATTCCATCCCAGTAGCATCAGAAAAGAATCAATGGGAATTTATTCAATATGTAGGTTACAAGTCACTTATCCCTCATGCCTAGCCTGCCCTTTTCCCATCTCTGCCACCCTACAAAATTAGAATTTCTTGCTTTTTCCTCTTTATCACTGATTCCTAAGTCCCTGGAATAGGTCAAGCTCTGGCCCTCAACATGTGTAGAGAGATTTTTGTGCAGCACCAACATATCTTGGATGAATTTGAGTAAAATACAAATTCAATATTCTTAAAAGCAAAGAGAGATTCTTTTACTTAAGCCCCATGGGGAAGTTTAGAGACTTTTCCTCATGGGTACTAATTCTCCAGGAGATGAGAAAGGGTAAATTTCTAAAAATTGATAACTCCAGGGTTCTGAACTCTGTGGATTTTTTTAAAAAATTAAGATTCTGGTGGGTTTTTTTTATTTTTCTCAGGGAATGAGTGTAATACTTTTTAGGATTAAAAATAAGCTATGATTTGAGGGTACACAACACCTGCAACATAACTGCTGCCTCACCCTTGACCCGTTGTTGTTGTGGTTTCTGGAAAATGGATAAAATGCCCCCAGTTGCATCCAGCGAACACACATCTCATATTCAGCATCTCCAAAGAACCCACAGATATCTGCTCCTGTCTGAGAAGATGCACAATGAGAGCATGAGGTGGGAATTTCAGGAGGCACTGACTCACAAAAATCTGACTGGGCAATTACTAATGGTCTGAATGTGACTTACATAAGGTATTCCAAAGAGACTGAACTCCATCATGCCTGCAAGAAGACACAGCTGTGTTGGATGCAGGAGGACTTTGGAAGGAGAGGGAAGCCTTGGTCTGATTTTTCCTTACCCCATTAGAAAGCCCTGGACCATTCATGAGGAAAATATTAAAAGATGGGTCTAAATTAAAATCCATTCCCACAGAGAACTCAGCTCTCATTAATTTTACCACCCACCTAGATGATGCTAGAGATATAACCAGTGCTGCTGAACAGCACAAACTCCAGTGCCCTTCCTGCCAGCACAGGACCCTAGGAAGGAGGCCACACACCAATGATAGAGTTCCCCAGTTGGTCCCACGTAGCTCTGTTGTCTCCCAGCCAGTGTCCTCCCCAGCGTCCAGAAGAGGGAAATGTGGAGCGGGTGATGACAACACCTTGCTGTCCTGTCACCTTCTGCACAGCTCTGGTGGAAGCGGAACAAGGAGATGAATTGAAGAAACAAACTTCTTTACAGAGAATAACTGCAGCTTGGAGCATGAGGTGTTAAGGGTGCTTCGGTCCGAGTGAGGTAACTTCTTCCCAGAAAGAATCTGCTGTCTAAAAGCCATGCTAAAGATTCCAACAAACTTCACAGCAAGACTAGAGGTATTTCTGCACCTAGAATGTGGGTTTCATCTTTTAAAAATCTAATTAACTATCTCCCTGGACTAAGAGAAAGAGGTTGGAGTGAGGGGTAATATAGCTATTTATGGAACAATTCCTCTATCCAAGTATTATATTGGTCACTTTCCTATGTGCTGTCTTATAACCTCATGAAAAAGTTTCCTTGCACTCCTTTTGCTGTTAGAAAACTGAGGTGCAGAGAAGTTAGAAAGGCATTTGCCTGAAAATAGTGAGCTAGATAAAGGAAGATGATCTTAAAATGCTCATCGAAAGTCATTTAAAGAGTCAAGAGGAGGCCAAGCACAGTAACTCACACATGTAATCCTAGCACCTTGGGAGGCCAAGACAGAAGGATTTCTTGAGGCCAGAAGTTCAAGACTAGCCTAGGCAACACAGTGAATCCCTGTCTTTACAAAAAAATAAAATTAGCTGGGAAGGGTGGCACATGCGTGTCTGCAGTCTTACGGTGGGGAACAGAAGAAAAAAAGAATAAGGAGAAAGATTGGGATCCAAATAAAAGCTATGGCATTTTGGAAATATTCACTCTGCTTCTCTATGCCTCAAAAAGTAAGATACGTTTTGCACCCAGGGGCAAATATACATAAAAGATGTTTATATTTCAGTAGAAGATAGACTATCTGCATGCACCTTAGAAAATAAAAACAACTGTATGAGGAAAAAAATCAACCAAAGAGTAAATCTGATAACAGATCGTAATATGTACACAATCCAAGTATTTACTTAAAAAGGCATCACAAATCAATAGACATAGATGAATAGTCAATAAATGATGTCCGGAAAAGTAGCTGACTACTGTAGTGAAAATGAATCCATTTGGGTCACTTCCAATTTTTCACACCAAAACAAATCCAAAAATGAATGGAAACACACACACACAAATCAAATGTTCTATTAAAACTGAAAAAGTATATAAACCACCTGATTTCTACAAGAGAAAGGAATTTCAAATAAAAACAACAGACAAAACATAATGAGGTAAGAGATACATATTTAACCATATGCAAATTGAAAGAATGCATGCGTATATATGTGTGATAAAGAAATGGAGGTAGAGAGAGCTTAGATTTTTTATAATAGTCTAGATGAGAGATAATGAAGGCCTGGAATAAGGCAGGAAGATAGAGTAGTAATGCAAAGAACTTAGTCACTGACTGAAAGAAGGAAAACAAGGAGAATCTAGGATGACCTAAATGACTAGACTTAGTTCCTTTCACAAAATAAAGAATTTTGGAGGGGCCAGGAGTGGTGGCTCACGCCTGTAATCCCAGCACTTTGGGAGGCCGATATAGGCAGATCACCTGAAGTCAGGAGGTCGAGACCAGCCTGGCCAACATGGCAAAACCCTAGCTCTATAAAAATACAAAAATTAACCAGGCATGGTGGCACACAGCTGTAATCCCAGCTACTAGGAAGGCTGAGGCAAAAGAATTGCTTGAACGTGGGAGGTGGAGGTTGCAGTGAGTCAAGATCATGCCACTGCACTGCAGTCTGGGCAACAGAGACTCTGTCTCAAAAAAAAAAAAAAAAAGGAATGCAGGAGGACAGGTTTCAGGGAGAAACAAATAGTTCAACATTTTACGTACTAGGTTTGAAGTGCCTATGGGACATCATAAATGAGACATCTATGGGCAATTCCAGATTTGAAGCTCAAGAGAAGTCTGCGTTGGGAACATAGATTTGGGGGGTCATCTGGATCCAGAATGTATTTAAAGCCAGTAATGTGTGTTTGTGCTTACCCAAGGGAAAGGCTGCATGGTGTGAAAGAAGGACGACTGAATCCAGGCCTAGGAGGACCACAGGCTTGGAAAGACTGAGAAGGTGAACCTTCTCAGCAAAAGAGTTGTAGAACTGTGGCCAGAGAGGTAAATGCATAAATATCCAGAATCTTGGTTGGAAAGCATAGTCAAGACCCTGAGAAATTAGTAAGGCACAGGGAGCATATGCAGCAGGGCATATTGTGAACCTCGAGATCAGCAGGGGGTGTATCATGAAGGTCAGTAGGTAAGAGTCAGAGAATAAAACTGACCACTGAAGCCACACACACTGAGCTCTCCCATCAATGTGGGCAGTCAGGGCTGACAAAGAAAGGCATTTTACAAGAAGAAATAAAAAAGGCTCAGTGCTTAGATAGAAAAGAGCAAAGAAGACATGGTCCTCTCCCCTCAACAAAGTGTGTAGAGAGAATAATGTAAAATGTAGAACTACTGTCAAGTTAGTAGTTAAGAGAAGGAGGGAATTGGGAGGGATGGAGTAATCTGAGGTTTCATGAAGGAAATAGATGTGAATTGGTCTTTAGGTTGTATGTGCTAATGGATTAGCCTGATCAAGATCAGAATGGCCAGCATGTATGATTGGTAAAGGGGAAAATATCAAGGCATATGGGAAGTAAAAAAAAAAAAAAAAAAAAAAAAAAAAAGTATCATGTACAGAAAGAGTTCCCTCAAACAGTTTGAATAGGAGAGGAAGTTGAGAGATTAGATGACGATTGGAGGAAGATACAGGCCAAAGCCAGAAAAACTGGGACATTTTCAAATTTTGATGAAAAAGAATGTCCAGGCACTGATTGCTATGGTATAGCTGTATCCCCACCTAAATCTCATCTGGAATTCCCACATGTTGTAGGAGGGACCTAGTGGAAGGTAATTGAATCACAGGGCAGTTCTTTCATGTGCTGTTCTCATGTTAGTGAGTAAGTCTCATGAGATCTGATACTTATAAGGAGGAGTTTTCCTGCACAAGCTCTTTTTTTTTCTGCCAGCATCCGTTTAAGATGTGACTTGCTGCTCCTTGCCTTCCGTCGTGATTTTGAAGCCTCCTCAGTCACATGGAACCTCTTTCTTTCGTAAATTGAAAAAAAAATACATTGCTATTATTTATTGAGTGCTTACAATATGCCAAGCACTTGTGGATTCATTATATCATTTAATTTTATGGTAACAATAGACACTATGATTTTTCCAATTTAAAAGATGAAAAAGTTAGAAGATGGCATTAATGAGTTATGAAGCATCCATCTAATTTCACAGCCTAAATCCTAAAGCAATATACCAGAAGAGAGGAAGAAGATAAAAATAATTCAAAAAGAAATGAGCACCCATGGAAAAGAACCATTTGTGGAGCAAGCTTCTCTGAAGAGAAAGACGGCAAAGGGATATGTGAAAAGTGAATTTCCCTGAAGAGAGAGGAAAGGATGGTGCATGGGAAAGATGAGCTTTAGACAGAAACTATCAAGTTTTCACATCTTCTTATTGCTGATTTCTTTGCCCTGCAAGCCCTTTCTTTGCCAAAAGAAAATTTCTATTCTTCTCATAACCAACATTCAATTGTCACTTCTTCTATGAAGACTTTCTGGATTATCCCAGTAGAGTTAATTGCTTTTCCCTTTCATGTTTGACTCCTCTAATCAGACAATGAGGTCATTGAGAGCAGAGATTGTGAATTATTCATCCTTGTAGTCTTCTGAGGTAAGGTTATTTCTGAGGGTATAAAACATCTATTTTCTCTGTATTTCACATGTAGACATGGATGTTTTTCTGAAGAACTAGTTTTTCCCTGGTGGGAAAAGCCTCAAGTTAGATGTAGAAAGCAAGACTGTGAAAGAGCAACTGAAAGATGAAGATGTAAAGAAAGTGGGAAAGGGAAGAAGAATTTCTTTTCAGGAGACCGTGTTGCCCCTGAGTGTGGAACCCCAGGGGCAACATGATCTATCACCTGTGGATAGCCCAAAATCAAATAGTATGAGGTTCTTATAAGCCCTGGGAACAGAAGGCAGGGAGCTTAGACACTTGAGCAAAGATGGGCAGCTGAACAGAAAAAAATCACACTCTGTCTTGGGAAGAAATAAAGAACCATCTGAAATTTCCCCATGGCGTCAGAAAATGGCAGAATCTAAGAAGGATAAAAGAAAGGACAAAGGGGCAGAAAAATATTTATAGAAATAATGGCCAAATACATACACATTGAAAACTACAAATAATTGTTGAAAAAATGAAATTAGTGGAAAGACATCTCATGCTAATGAATCAAAAGAGACTTAATATTGTTAAGATAATACTCCCCAAACTGAACTACAGACTCTATGTAAAACCTATCAAAATCCCTATTGCTATTTTGTCAAAACAAAGTGATTATAAAATTCATGTCAAATGCAAGGGACCCATGGTAGCCAAAACAATCTTGAAAAAACAAAACTGGAAGGTTCACACTTCATCAATTAAGACAGTGTGGTCTTAGGATAGATATATAGAGAGATCAATGAAATAGAATTGAGAATGCAGAAACAAGCCTTCTCATTTATTGTCAATTGATTTTTGACAAGGTGCCAAGACAATAAAATGAAGGAAAGAATAAAATTGAACCCCTGCCTCACACCATACACTATAAAGCTCTTAGAAGAAGACATAGGAGTAAATATTTATGACCTTGGGTTGGCCAACACTTCCTTGAATATGACACCAAAAGCACAAGTGACAAATAAGTAAATGAATAAATAGGACTTCATAAAAACTTTTAAAAATGTGCTTCAAAACATGGTTATGGAAGTGAAAAGTCTATAGAATGAGAGAAAATATCTTCAAACTATATATATCATGAGAAACTTGAATTTAAAATATTTAAAGAATTCTTATAATCCAATAATTTTTTTTCTGTAGAGATAGAGTCTCATTTTATTCCCCAGGCTGAAGTACAGTGTCATCATAGCCCACTGCAGCCTCAAACTCCTAGCCTCAAGAGATCCTCCTACCTCAGCCTCTCAAGTAGCTGGGACTACAGGCATGCACCATTTTGCCTGGCTTATTTGTTTGTTTTAGAGACAGGGTCTCACTATGTTGTCCAAACTGGCCTCAAACTCCTAGACTCAAGCAATTCTCCCACTTATGCCTCCCAGAGTACTGGGACTACAGGTGTGAGCGACCATGTCTGGCCACAATTCAATAATTTTTAAAAAAATGATTCTATCAAAAATGAGCAAAGACTTTGAATAGATATTTCTGCAAAGAATATACACAAGTGGCCAATAGCATATGAAAAGATGCTCAATAACATTAGTATTAATGAAATAAAGTCAAAACAACAATTAGATATCACTTTACCCTCATTAAATGTCTATAATTTTAAAAGATGAACAACACCAAGTGTTGGCAAGGATGTAAATGAATTGTAATTCTTATGCATTTTACCATATGCAGATAAGACTGTAAAATGATAGGCTTTTTATATGTAGATAAGAATGTAAAATGGTAGGCATGGTGGCTCATGCCTGTAAGCCCAGCACTTTGGGAGGTCAAGGCGAGTAGATCATCTGGGGTCAGGAGTTCGAGATCAGCCTGGCCAACAGGGGGAAAGTCCATCTCTACTAAAAAATATAAAAATCAGTCAGGCATGGTGGCACATGCCTGTAATCCCAGCTACTTGGCAGGCTGAGCCTGGAAAATCACTTGAACCCAGGAGGCAGAGGTTGCAGTGAGCCAATATCACAGCACTGTACCCCAGCCTGGGTGACAAAGGGAGACTCTGTCTCAAAAAAAAAAAAAAGATGTAAAATGGTACAACCTCTTTAGAAAACAGTTTGACATGTCTTCAAAATATTAAACATATGGTTTCTATATGACACAAAAGTTCCACTTATATATATATTAAAAACTAAGAAAACATGTCTACTCGAAATTTCACACATAAATATTCATAGAATCACTACTCAAAATAGCAAAAAAAAAAAAAAAAGAAACAGTTGTTCACTCATTGGTATATAGACAAGCAAAATGTGATATATCTATACAATAAAATATTATTAATCAGTAAAAGGAAATCAAGTACTGATACATGCTACAACATAAATGATCCTTGAAAACATTATGCCAAGTGAAAGAAGCCAGATACAGAAGAGCACATATTGTGTGATTCCATTTATATGAAATGTCCAGAAAAGGCAATCCACATAGACAGAAAACAGATGAGTAATGGCTAGGGCTCAGGAGGTAGGAACGAGATACAAATGATTCCTAGTGGGCAAAGGTCTTCCTTTTGGAGTTCTGAAAATATTCTAAAATTCAATTTTTGTGATAGTTTCATGACTGTGAATTTACTTGACACCATCTAACTGCTCACTTTAAATAGGTGAATTTAGTAACATACTTGATAAATGTGCTCATAGGTGTTGTGGATATTTTGAATTAACTCATTTACCTGGCATCACACAGATACATACACAATGCAAATATCAAATGACAGAAGGAACAGTGTGGAAAATTGTCTTTGCTGTAGTGACAAAAAGACACTCACTCGTATGTGGGTCTGGTCTGGGACCATCCGTACAGGCTGTGCACGTTGTAGTGCCACACGGGGGAGCCGTCTGGGAGGATATGCTGACTCTCCATGCACAGGGTCTTGCTGCTCAGGCCTCTGTCCCTAGATTCCAAATCTGAGGGGAAATGTTGAGTTATTTCCTAAACAACATGATTTGCACATTCACTAAAAATGCCCATCATTTTGGTGTTTCTTTATTTCAATCAATAACGTTGTTACCAGTAACAGCCCCAATTTTATGAGTTTTTAGTCTATAAAAAACAATGTTCTATGCCTTTATAACTAATGAAGGGTAAGGATAAACTATGGAGCTGGGAAAAGCAGCTCCCCTTCTTTTTGCTCCAACTCTGATTTAATTTATAGAGTGTTGTCATAGCCCATTTGTCAACATAATAATCTCCTTCATTGTTAGGACTGTTTCTTCCACTAGATGGTAATGTTCTCCAGGGAATAAATTTTGTTTCAGTCATTTTTTTTAAATTTATGTCTCTAAATCTTTTCCATTTGACAGCATTTGCTTGATACATAATTACAGATGATCCTCAACTTACAATGTGATTCCTTCCCAATGAATCCATCAATCCATCACAAGCTGAAAATATTGTAACTTGAAAATGCATAGAATGGACCTAACTTACCTTGCATGTGCTCAGACACTTACATTAGTCTACAGTTAGGCAAAATTATCTAACACACGGCCTATTTTAAAACAAAGTGTTGAATATCAATTGTAACTCACTGAATGCTGTAGTGAAAGTGAAAAATAGAATGGTTATTTGGGTTCTCAAAGTTCAATTTCAACTGAATGCATGTCATTTTCTCACCATTGTAAGGTTGAAAATCATGTCAGACCATGGTAAGTCAAATACCCTCTGCATTAAATTAATGAAGGAGAAAATGAACAAATGAGTGAGTGAGTGAACAAGACAGCATAACAGTGATGTAGACATCAAGAAACTTGGATTCGAGATTCTGTCCCACAGATTACTGGTACAGTGCCTTTTGCTTTGTTTTGTTTTTCTGTTTTTTGTTTTGTTTTGTCATATGAGTCTTAATATGTTGCCCAGGCTGGTGTCAAGACTCAAACTCCCAGTCTTAAACAATCCTCCCACTTCAGCCATGGTACAGTACTTTTAGGAAGTGAGTCATTTTCTTCCTTGTACCTTTCTAAGATGAGAAGATTCAACCTTCTGGGATCCTTTTGATCCCAACATTCTATTTCTGTTTGACCACAGGACAACCAAGACGTATCCTTCATCAGATGTCTGTTTACATGAGCGGAGAGAGTTCAGAAACTAGATTTTAATTCTCTAATCAAAAGAACATCTCTCCACTCGCGTGTGTGTGTGCGTGCGTGCGTGTGTGTGTAATCAATGGAATCAAATGTACCATGCATTGTTTGGTTTCTTTCACACAAAATCATGTCATTATTTCTTGCTTGATTAGTAATCTGTTTATCTACACTTATTCAAGGTTATCTTACTTGGGATTTCATGTCATGCTTGAGAATGCTTTCTGTCTTCAGCATTAGGCTTCACTTTGACAGTAAGAGAAAAACTTTCAGAGTCTTTGAGTGGGGAAGTAAGTTAATGAAATAATTATTTTACATACATGGCACATAGGTTTTGTTATATAGCGTTTCATTTCTGCAGCCCCAGACGGATCCATCCACAAAGTTTGATGGCTCATTCATGTCCTGAAATGAGTTAACAAAAAAGATCCTGTCATGTCAGGGGCAGGATGGGTTGGCTATAGAGGATACTACCTCAGGGAGATGACTTTTGAAGACCTCTCCTCAGCTGGTGGTTTAGTTCACTGTGTTTAATCCCTGGCATTGACCCAAATGGACTCTAAAAGATTGTAGTTTAATTCCCGGCATTGACCTAAATGGACTCATCAGCCAAAGTGGAGTGCTAAACTCTTTCTTGCTTACCCAGCATTTTAAAACTTAGGATTGTTTTATAGCGGCAAAAATAGTGAGGTAATGCTGGACTCGGGATCTCAGGAAATCTTTTGATCCATCTCCCCAGCAGAGTTAGCCCATCTTTATTTTTCTCTGTTTGGATTATTCACTTTTTAATCTGTGGCCAGAGGTTACTATTTATCTTCCTCTATTTTTTCTTAGTCTAGTCGCGTGAACTAACTCTGATATTGGCATAGCCAAACACAAGGAGAGCTTTCTTACTTTCTGCCATAAATATATTTCTAAAAAGTTGTACATAACTCAGAAACAGGTTTGGAAATAAAAATGTACTTTGGGGAATTTATTACTTAAATGAAAGGAGTTGGGGCTCCTAAGGGAATGTTCATTGCCCAGTTCAACAATGGAAAATTTACATTTTTGAATCCCAAACTATTTTAAATAGGACATATTAAAGGCAAATGAAAGTACTTGAGGAACTATTCATTACTTTGAATTACCCAGCTACAGCTTTCCCTTCATTGGAAAAAGAAAAGCAAATGCTACCCCAGAGCTATCAGTATTTCTTATTCTCAAGACTGCCCATATCTCTTCACTGGTTGATTCGCCTTTTTAAGTTAATTTGTGTCCTTTCACATGACTCTTCTGTGCCTATCTTGAAGGTGCAGGTGGTCAGGGAAGCCCCAGTGCTTTCAGTGGATTTTTGTTTCTAGGGTGAATCACAAACTTCTTCTAGCCTGACCCACAGCTGAACAGCCCTTCAGAGCTGGTCTAGAGCTTGCTTAAGATTTCAGAGGACTGGACAGTGGGAAAGGAAATCAGAACATCGATATGGCTTCCCATCCCCAGAAAACCATAGAGTTGCCCTTGGGCATAATATCTCAGAGATATCTCAGAAGTCCTGCTTTTAAGGCTAGCTGCCATTTACAGCAAACATCTGAACAGGCCTTTAAGCCATTGCCTCAGAGGTGCTGTCCCAGTACTATGGTGAATGTCTACTTGCTCTCAGGTCCACACGTCACCCACTCCCAGCTCTGCCCTGTAAGGCTCCCTTACCATCAACTTCCAGGTAGATTTGTCCAATGGGGGACACTGGCAAGAGATTGCAGATGGGAGGTGATTTCTCCCTCTCTCTTTTGCTCTGGCATCTCCAGCAGTAGCAATCCCCTCTGTGGGCTCCACCTTCCACCAGACAATATGCCTCTGGGCAGATGAGCAATGTTCTCTGCTTCTCTTGGTCCCAGCACTTAGATATTGTAACAGCATTTCTCCCTTTCATCTCTGCAGTCCTAGGTCTCTGTTTTACCAGTCTCTCCTCCCCATGTTTTGACTTGCTAATATTTAAAAAAAAAAAAAAAAAAGACAACCAAGGGTGCACTTACAATCCGCAATCCATCAAACTTCAAGCTCTTCTCTGGCTCTCGAGGGTTTGTATAGAGCTCTTCTATCTCTTTCTTCCACCATGCAGCTGTGTTATTATGAAAGAAGTCAGGAAAAGCAACGTAGGCCCTGTATAGCTGTAAGAATAAGACACAGTCTCATGGCGGGGTCTCAGCTTATCCAGGGGACCACAAATGGGAGATGAACAGGAATTTGTGCCTACCCAGATTAGTCTCTGCTCTAATCTCAGATCTGCTGCTGTTACAGAGTTTACAATAGAAGCAGAGATTGGGGAAGGCTGATTTCATTCTTTGTTTTCTTAGAAGGTTAGATAGCTTTAAAATCTCCTTCAAATACAGGATTTGTTTTATAACTGGACATGTAATCACAAGATTGGAAAAGTAGCAGTGTCTAAACAGTTGAACTTTAGAGATGCAAATAACTTTTTCTTTTTCCTTCTTTTTTTTTTATGAGATGAAGGAAGATTGTCATCCAGGGACAAGTGACCTCCAGAGTAGAGGGGATGCTAGATGACCAGGCTGAGATTCATGGCTTTACTTCATTCAATTGACTTGTATTTTCTTTTGTATGCAGATAATTTATGAAAACCCAGTCTGTTCATAATGGATTCCCCTCTAGTGATAAAATAATAGACTTTGGTTCATTATTTTTCTAGTATCATAAAGTTCAAACAAATCACAGCCCATTAAAAGCACACTTATTAGAGGATTTCATTAATGATTTCCTTCTACACATTTACATTTTCACTGTCTGTTGAGCTTTCAACTTGAGGATCTCTTTCTTCCAAGAAACTAACAATGGATAAGCACCCTCAAGTTAGGGCTACTTAACTAAAGGGTAAGCTACTTGTTCATCAAGATAAAAAAGCATAAATATCCAGATATTTAGGTCAATGTTGACAAAAATCTATATACTGTACCTTAACCTGAGTTTCATGATCAAGGGATCCATCTACATTTACATTAGGCAGATCTGGCCAAACCTAGAGAAAAAGAAGGAAAACTGAAAGCCTTAAAGATCATTGCATACAGATTATGAGGTATTTCATGTGTAGACTCTGATGACATGCATCCATTTGCTTGGGAATCTTTGCCATGAATTAAACTGTAAAGACTGAATCTACAAAATTACATTAGGTGAAAGTAGGCTGGGTCTCTTGATTCATTCCATATGTTTTCAAAGTTTTATTTTTGAACTTAATAATTAACTGAATTTCTTTTAAACATATCCTCTGAACAACTAACTTTCAAGTGATTTCTCAGATCTCTGATCTCCTTGTCATAGACCTATAACAAAATTCATAGTAAGTGTGAAGTGTGACTCTAAAGAAATACGATTGATTTCCATTCACACCCTATAAATCTGACCTCAATACTTTTAAGCATTATCATGACTTATAGGGGACTCCAAGTATACATAGCATTAAAAAAATCCATAGTGTCAACCAATTTTACCTGTAACTACCAGGACATTAACTAAATACACACTGATTAAAGGATTCAATCAACAGACACTTACTGAGTACTTCCTATATGACAAACACTATTCTAAGATCTCTATTTACTGAGATTTAAGTAAGAAATAGTACTTGTTTCTCAAGAGTTCACAGAATAGTACATAAATGCTACACTGCATGCTATACTGAAGGCAATATTACAGAAAAGGGAAAACAGGAAGAACTAAAATATTTATTAAATGTCTTGAACAACGTAAGATTTGAATTGATTTTGAAATGAAGATTATTATCTGGGTAAGTTGGGAAGGTAATATTCAAAGTGAGCATAGGGCCAGGCATGGTGGCTCATGCCTGTAATCCCAGCACTTTGGGAGGCTGAAGCAGGCAAATCGCCTGAGGTCAGGAGTTCAAGACCAGCCTGGCCAACATGGTGAAACCCCATCTCTACTAAAAATACAAAAATTAGTCAGGCATCGTGGTGTACACCTGTAATCCCAGCTACTCAGGAAGCTGAGGCAGGAGAATTGCTTGAACTTGGGAAGCAGAGGTTGCAATGAGCTGATATCACGCCACTGCACTCCAGCCTGGGTGACAGAGTGAGACTATGTCTCAAAAAAAAAAAAAAAAATCAGCATGGAATACACCCAGAGCAGTGGAAAGTAGCACAGTATAATTAAGGAACAGAATTTGAATCTGGGCTAAAAGCTACTATCACCCGAAGTCCACCTAAAATGGTATTGCTATAAATCAGACATAAGAAGATGAAGATTGAAGCCATAAAGATGAATTAAAGGAAACAAGATAAAGAGGAGAATTTATAGGACTTAATGATTCATTTAGATAGGAAGGCAGATTAAGCATGATAGGTCAAAGACGAATGCATGTTTTGCATGTAGGTAGCTGGGAAGGACAGACTTCAGTCATTCTCAAAGGGATTCTTACTGTTTGTTAAATGACCATGTGGAATAAATAAAGAGTAGGGACATCAGAATATTTCCAGGCAATAGACAGTGCTCAGTAATAATAGAGAATGAGACCTGTAACCTTGGCCTTATTAATGTATATTGAACTAATCAGCACCAGGCAGATTTCTACTCATTCATAATTTATTGATTGTCCAATATATTTTCCAACACGTATTGAGAGCTATTTTATTTCAAGACATTGTGATGTTAATTAACTGTAAGTACCTTCCCCAAGCCTTACCTTTCCCCAGACAATGTCATTGGTGTCAGGCCATTTGATGAACACGTCGTTTTCCTGTCCTCTAATGAATGGGAGATACTGGGTCTCATTGCCAGAAATGGCTGGGTCCTACAGCAAAACAATTTCAAACAGCAAATATGAGGAAAACATCTCTAAGAAAATTTCTCTCCAAAAATTTAGTAGTTCATAGTGCAGAAGGAAATGGTGAACCTCAATACCAAAAATAAAAATCATGGATAATTTGACTTACATCTTACTGAGTATATTACCATAGCCAATTGAAATGGGATGGTGCCATGAGTACTCAAAGTAAGATATAAAACCCTTATGAGCGGCAACCTCTTTCAAAGCGTACAAGAATCTGTGTCAATAAATGAAGGAGTCTTTCTATATTATAAAAAGTAACCACCCAAAGCTATAACTAATAAAAGGAAGGTGGACAATATGGCCAGTTAGATGCAGCTGGGAAGCACCTCTCCTACTGAGAAAAATCAAAATACTGAGTAAACCACCACACTTCAAACAGAGCTTTTGAGAGAAAACACTGACAGTCTACAGAGAGGCAATGTAGACACTGAGGTGTAAGAGGGAAAAAGCTGGAAACCCCACACAGAGTGGCTAAGTGCTAGGACGAGCTCCTGTCACTGAACAGGTCCTAAGAAAGGGGTGAGTGAAGGGACACTTCCACTGCAGACCTCTGGAATCCTAGCTACAACAGTCGCCACAAAAACACCATAAACACTTGAACTGGCAAGAGGAGCTGCCTGGAGAGTAGGCAGAGGCAGAGCTCAAGCCTATGCAGAGACCAGAGGGTTTTGCATACACGGCGTCTGCAGCAAAATACGACCATGGGCACCTATCTGTAAAGGCTCTCGATCTTGCTCTGAGCAGATCTAGCCCCTGCTGACAGCTGAGCTGGGAGACAGCAGGGTTGTCTTTCCTATAGAACCAGGGTGCCTCTGATCGGCATGCCACCCTGTCTGCCAGCCCCTTGCAAGGCCACTGCTTGGCTGCTCCCAAAAGAGCATGCACACAGCACAGCCTCCACTGCTCCACCTGAGTGCTTTGCTGGTGGCCTGGAGGCACTCTGCCCCCTAGCAGAGCCAGTACTCAGCCCTAACGGGCCAGAAAACAAAGCTGCAAGTCCAGTCCAAACCCACCAGGGTTTAAACACAAAGATCAGGATTATCTAGCTGAGATCTGTGGCCCAGGCTTGAGCAGGGCCACAGATCACAGAACACTGAGAAGAGTGAGATATGGGTTTGTGTGCTGGTGTGGAGGTTGGGCATGCCTTCTTCTGCAAGACTGGTCTGGGAAGGGTGTAGCCTGTTTACCAGCCACAGCCTCTGCCCAAGGGAGTGCCACAGCCCAGAACATCTAACAGACTAACAATCTGGATGCAAAAGTCTTGAGACAAAACTAGCTTGTCAGGGCAGCTACTGAGGCAGACATTAGAAGGAGATTCAGTTGTGGGAGAGCAAGCTGAGAGGTCCCCAAAGCCATCTGCTGTGCAGAAAATACTGGGTCATATCAGTTTGTACCCCTATGGCAACACTGCAGTGCCTGGGGATCCTCTGCCCTTGACCCACTGCATCAACAGATCACCCCCAGATATACCCCACAACCTACTCTGAGTCTGCCAAGTGCAGAGGACCAACAGGAAGCTTCAGATGTCTTGGTGACCTGATCTTTGGCTCAAGCTGCCCCTAAGAGGGAAGAGCACAGCCTGTGAGGGATCCCTTTGGGGCTAAGGAAACAGGCGTGACATCAGTGATTCGAGGGGGCTCGCTCAAGTGCCAAAAATGGACTTGGCAAGGAGGCCATCTCTGGATCTCCCATCTCCTCCACCCCATAGCACTGCTGCAAATGTGCTGAAATACAAAAGAGGCCTGTAGCTGAGTAAGAGGCTATCTTCTGGCCCTTACTCTTAAGCACCATCTACTGTATCGCAGCCTAAATTACACCACCAAACAAAAACTCTTTTAGTGCACATTGTCTGTGATACCCAGTGCAGAAATTCAGCCACAGATGAAGATCTCTTAAAGAGCCTTGGGCCTCTGAAAGTACCCAGAAATGAAGCCAATCAACCATACTCAATATACACCACAGCCAAACACTCAAGGAAAATAAAGTCTATATAAACAAAAAGCCATATCTAAAAGACAGCAACTTCAAAAAGATAAAGAACATCCACCCTCTCAGATGAGAAAGAATCAGCGCAAGAACCCTGGCAATTCAAAAAGTCAGAAAATCTTCTTAACTCCAAACAATTTCAATAGCTCCCCAGCAATGGTTTCTAACCAGATTGAAGAGACCAAAGTGACAGATACAGAATTCAGAACCTGGATGACAAGAAAGCTCAACAAGTTTCAGGAGAATGTTGAAACTCAATCCGAAGAAGCCAGTAAAATGATCCAAGAGGTGAAAGATAACATAGCCATTCTAACAAAGAACTAAACTGAACTTCTGGAAATAAAACAACAAATGATAATACAATTGCAAGTATTAATAATAGAATAGACCAAGCTGAGAAAAGAATCTCAGAACTCAAAGACCAGTCCTTCTAAACAACCCAGTCAGAAAAAAAATATTTTAATAATTTTTAAAAATGAACAAAACCTCTGAGAAATATATAATTATGTACAATGGCCAAATCTATGACTCATTGGCATTCCTGAGAGAGAAGGGGAAAGAATAAATGATTTGGAAAACATATTTGAAGAAATAGCCCATGAAAATTTCCCCAATCTTGCTAGAGAGGTCAACATATGAATTTAAGAAATTCAGAGAACCCCTATGAAATGCTGTGCAAGATGATCATCCCTAAGACACACTAGGAATTTTTCTTAGTGTGTTTTGGGGACAAACTAAGAGAATTTCTTATCCCTAGACTAGCCTTAGAAGAGACCCTGAAAGGAGGTCTCAACATGGAAACAAAAAATTGATATCAGCTGCCACAAAAATACTCTTAAGTAGATAGCCCAGAGGCCCTATGAAACAACTACACAATTGAGTCTGGAAATCAACCAGCTAACAACACGATAACAGGATCAAAACCTTACATATTAATCAATATAAATGTTATAAATGCTGTACTTAAAACACAGAGGGGCAATTTGAATACAAAAATAAAGACACAACCACATGAACTGTATGATAAGAGGCTCATCTCACATGTAACGATACCTGCAGGCTCAAACTAAAAGGACAGAGAAAGATTTACCATGCAAACAGAAAAGAGCAGGGGTCACTATTCTTCTTTCAGATAAAACAGACTTTAAACCACAAAGTCAAAAAGGACAAAGAAGAGCATTACATAATGATACAGGATTCAAGTCAATAAGGATAGTTAACTATCCTAAATAAATATGCACCCAACACTGGAAAACTCAGATTCATTAACAAATGCCTACAAAAAGACAGCTACACAATAATAGTAGAGGACTTCAATACCCAACTGACAGCATTAGACAGATCATCAAGGCAGAAAACTAACAGTGAAATTTGGAACTTAAACCCAACACTGACTAATTGGACATAATGGACATCTAGAGAATACTCCATCCAAAAACCACATAATATGGATTCTTTTCATAAGCATGCAGCACATAATCCAAGATTGACCACATGCTTGGCCATAAGGCAAGTCTCAATAAATTCAAAAATATCAAAATTATACCAAGGATACTCTCAAACCACAGTGCAATAAAAATGGAAATCAATACCAACTCTCTCAAAACTACATGTAAATTAAGCAACTTACTCCTGAATGACTTTTGGTTAAATAACAAAATTAATTATCAAAAACTTCCTTGAAATTAATAAAAACAGAGACACGACATAACAGAATCTATGAGATGACCAAAAGTAGTGTTAGGAAGAAAGTGTATAGCCATAAATGGCTACATCAAGAAGTTAGAAAGATCTCAAATTAACATCCAACTTCACAACTAGAAGAACTATAAAAACAAGAACAAACTTGCCTCAAAGCTAGCAGAGGAAAATAAATAATTAAAATCAGAGCAGAGCTGAACAAAATTGAGATTCAAAAATCTATACAACATATCAACAAAGCAAAGTTGCTTTTTTGAAAGGGTAAACAAGATTGATAGGTCACCAGCTAGATTAAGGAAAAAAGAAAGAAGATACAAGTAAGTGTAGTGTAATCATAAATGACAAACATGACATTACAACCGATCCCACAGAAATACAGAGTATCGTTAGAGATTTTTATGAACATCTCTAAGCACACAAACTAGAAAATCTAGAGGAAATGAATAAACTCCTAGAAACACACAACCTCCCAAGACTGAACCAGAAAGGAGCTGAAACCATAAACAGACCAATAATAAATTCTAAAATTGTATTAGTAATAAAAAGCCCACCAACCAAAAAAGAATCCCTAATCAAATGGATTCATGGTAAAATCCTACCAGATGTACAAAAATCTTATACCAATCCTACTGAAATTATTCCAAAAACTTGGAAAGGATGGTTGCCTCCCTAACTGATTCTACAAAGCCAGCATCATCCCGATACCAATATCTGGCAGAGACAATGAAAAAAGGAAACTTCAGGCTGATGTCCCTGATGAACATAGATGCAAAAATCCTCAACAAAAAACTAACAAACCAAACTCAGGAGCACATCAAAAAGTTAACTGATCGTGTTCAAGTAGGCTTTAACCTCTGGGATGCCAGGTTGGGTCAACAAAGGCAAATCAATAAATGTGATACACTGTATAAACATAATTAAAAATAAAAGCCATACAAAAATCTCAATAAATCCAGAAAGAGTTTTTGATAAAATCCAATATCCCTGCATGATAAAAACCCTCAAGAAATTAGGCATCAAAGGGAAGTACCTCAAAATAATAAGAGCTATCTGACCAACCCACAGCCAACATCATACTGAATGGGAAAAAGCTGGAAGCATTCTTTTTCTTTTTCTTCTTCTTCTTCTTCTTTTTAAATTGTACTTTAGGTTCTGGGGTATATGTGCAGATCATGCAGGATTGTTGCATAGGTACATACGTGACAAGGTGGTTTGCTGCCTCCATTCCCCCATCATCTATATCTGGCATTTCTCCCCATGTTCTCTCTCCCCACCCTCCCCACCCACCACTGTCCCTCCCCTAACGACCCCAACAGACCTCAGTGTGTGATGCTCCCCTCCCTGTGTCCAAGTGTTCTCATTGTTCAACACCCACCTATGAGTGACAACATGCAGTGTTTGATTTTCTGTTCTTGTGTCAGTTTGCTGAGAGTGATCGTTTCCAGATTCATCCATGTCCCTACAAAGGACATGAACTCATCTTTTTTTATGGCTCCATGGTGTATATGTGCCACATTTTCTTTGTCCAGTCTATCATTGATGGGCATTTGGGTTGGTTCCGGGTCTTTGCTATTGTAAACAGTGCCACAATGAACATAGGTGTGCATGTGTCTTTATAATAGAATGATTTATAATCCTTTGGGTAGCATTCTTCTTGAGAACTGGAACACAACAAGGATGTCCTGTCTCATCACTCCTATTTAATACAGTACTAAAAGTCCTAGCCAGAGCAATCAGGCAAGAGAAAAAAATAAAACACATCCACATAGGAAAAGAAGAAGCAAACTGTCTCTCTTCATGGGTGACATGATTCCATACCTAGAAAACCCTAAATACTTTGCCAACAGGCTCCTAGAACTGATAAACAACTTCATTAGAAGTTTCAGGATACAAAATTAATGTACCAAAATTAGTAGCATTTCTACACATCAATAATGTTCAAACTGAGATATCTCAAATTAGAAATCTCAAGTTAGATCTCAAATTAACAATCCAATTTCACACCTAGAAGAACCATAAAAACAAGAATGTTTTTCTAGTTCATCAAGAATGCAATCCCATTTATAACAACAACAGAAAGGATAAAATACCTAGGAACATATCTAACCAAGGAGATGAAAGATCTTTGCAAGAAGTACAAAACACTGTTGAAGGAAATCAGAGATGACACAACAAATGAAAAAACATTTCAAGCTCATGGACTGGAAGAATTAATATCATTAAAATGGCCACACTTCCTGAAGCAATTCATAGATTCAACACTATTTCTATTAAACTCCAATATCATTTTTCACATAATTAGAAAAACTATTCTAAAATTCACATGGAACGAAAAAAGAGCCTGAATAGCCAAATAAATTATAAGCAAGAAGAACAAAGCGAGAGGAATCACATGACCCAACTTCAAAATATACTATCACACACCTACAATCATTATCTGATCTTCAGAAAAATTGACAAAAATGAGCAAGGGGAAAAGAATTCTTTATCAAGGAATGGTGCTGAGGTAACTTAACCATATATAAAAGAATGGTACTGGACTCCTACCTTTCACTATATATGAAAATTAACTCAAGATGGATTAAAGACTTAAATGTAAGGCTGCAAACTATAAAAATCCTAGAAGATAATCTAGGGAATGTTATTCTTGACATTGGCCTTAGCAAATAATTTATGGCTAAGTTCTCGAAAGCAATTGCAATGAAAACAAAAATTGTCAATGGATCTAATTAAAATAAAGAGCTTTTCTACAGCAAGAGAAACTTTCAACAGAGTAATGAGGCAACCTACCAAATGGGAAGAAATATTAGCAAGTTATGAACCTGACAAAGGCCTAAAATCCAGAATATGTAAGGAACTTAAACAAATCAACAAGCCAAAAACAATCTTGTTAAAAAGTAGGCGAAGGGCATGAACAGATACTTCTCAAAAGACGACATACAAGTGGCTAACAAACCTATGATAAAGCACTGAATATAAGTAACAGGGAAATGCAAATCAAACCACAGTGAGATACCATCTCACATCAATCGGAATGGCTTTTGTTGAAAAGTCAAAAAATAGATATTGGTGGGGCTGTGGAGAAAAGAGAACACTTATACACTGTTGGTGGGAATGTAAATTAGTTCAGCCACAGTGGAAAGCAATTTGGGGATTTTCTCAAAGAACTAAGAATTGATCTACCATACCACCCAGCAACCTCATTACTGGGTATATACCCTAAGGAAAATAAACCATTCTCTCAAAAAGACACATGTACTTGTATGTTTATCACAGCAATATTCACAGCAGCAGAGACATAAAGTCAACCCAGGAGCCCACCTATGGTAGACTGGATAAAGAAAATGTGGTATGTATATATCATGGAATACTACATAGCCATAAAAAACATGAAATTATGTTCTTTGTAGCAACACGGATGTAGCTGGAGGCCATTATCATAGTGAATTAATGCAGGAACAGAAATGCAAATGCCACATGTTCTCACTTATAAGTGAGAGCTAAGTATTGGGTACACATAGATATAAAGGTGGGAATAATAGACACTGGAGACTACAAGAGAGGAGAGGGAGGGAGAGGGGCAAGGGTTAAAAAACTACCTGTTTGGTACTATGTTCACTACCTGGGTGATGGGTTCCATTATACCCTGATATGGTTTGACTTTGTCCCCACCCAAATCTCATCTTGAATTGCCATGCGTTGTGGGAGGGACCTGGTAGGAGGTAAATCATGGGGGCAGGTCTTTCCCTGCTGTTCTCATAATAGCGAATGAGTCTCATGAGATCTGATGATATTAAAAAAGGGAGTTTTTCTGCACAAACTCTCTTCTCTTGTCTGCCACCATGAAAGACATGCCTTTCACCTTCCACCATGATTGTGAGGCTTCTCCAGCCATGTGGAACTGTGAGTCCATTAAACCTCTTTCTTTTATAAATTGCCCAGTCTCAGGTATGTCTTTATCGACAACATGAAAACAGACTAATACATACACCAAACCTCAGCATTACACAATGCACATTTGTAACAAACCTATATATGTACACATTGAATCTAAAATAAAAGTTAAAAAAATAAAGTTTAACCCTGAATTATTTAAGTAAATAAATAAGATGCTAAAAATTCTGTAGGAATTTCAATATGACATAATATAAGTGATATTTTTCCAATGACATAGAAATCTATTTTTACAAAGAGAGTTGAGAAGCAAAAGAATGTATTGGTGTTTCTTCATAAAATTCTTGAGAAAAACTTTTGCTATTGTTTGAAAACAACTCTGGGGATAAACCAGGTTAATAAGGCTTAATCCTCAAGCAGAGAGAGCCAATTCATTGTGTTTCCAGAGTATAATAGCAATATTCCTCAAAAACATGAATCGTTTTTATTGCCTTCTGGGTCCCACTAAAGCAGCTTCTCTTGCTCACACCATCCCATACCTGCCCCAATTACTCTCTATAATATTATGCTGTTTCACAATTGTCATATAAATCACTACTGTCTGAAATTATCTCTTCAGATGTGTATTGGCCATCTCCCTCCATTAGAATAAAAACCTTATAAGAAAAAGAGCACTGTCTTACTAATTTAGACTATGCATGTACCCTCACACACACATACACAACTTGTAGAAGAGTGATTTTCAAATATTGTGTTCAATAAATACATGAATTAGTAAGTGAACAAAAGTCACCGAATAATGCTGTAATTTTTGGAAGCTAGCAGGGAGAATCATTTGTAGGTAATTACCTCTGCATTTATCAAGATATGGCTTTCTAGTAAAATAATAAATTGGTATTCTGGATCATAACTCAATTGTTTGTAAGTTTAAGAAGAAATGTCACCTGAGCTTTAATATTTCCTAGTGATGCTACAACATAAGATTTTTGAATCCCCTGATGAGACTAAGATACAGGTCTTTCTCCTGAGGCATAGCCTGAAATAGAAACAGTGAGACACCTTTTTTTCCTTTTTTTATTTTTCTATCTTCAGTTCTTCAGCCCACAGTTGTTCTAACTCTACCAAAAGAAGATAATTATATTCTAGCAACAGTTATGGAAAATAAATAGTATAAAATATCATCTTTTAAAAGCCCTTTTTCATTTTTCTTTATTTGCTTTTAATTAAAAAATAATAATTATAGATTCACCACAAGAAGTTGTAAAACAAACAAGAAAGTACAGAGTATAAGAACATTTCTTGTACCCTTCATCCAGTTTCCCACAATGGCGTTATTTTGGAATCATGAATATGGAAATAGAAAGTAGAATCTAATCTGTCTCAATACCTACCAAAACGAGAATAAATCTCATGCCATTTTTCTTCATTTGCTCAATCAGGAGACTGAGGTTTTGAAAGCTGGCACTGAGGGTGAAATCCAGCTTCCGGTCCATGTAATCGATATCTACATGCTGGACATCCTGTAGGAAGAAACAGCAAGGCGCTTGGAACACTGCAGCATGTGTCTTGCAGGGCACACTGACTGCTCTGTCAGGCCCCTAGTCTTAATGAGATGAGAATGAGTAGGGGCCTGGGCTCTATGCCTGCCCCAGCCCAGGTGCCTACTCATTCCTCATCTCATTACTCCCCTATGCTGACTTTTCAATTCTGCAGATTGAAATTGCTTTCTGATGCCTGCATGCAGTTCACCTGTGCCCACCCCTTCTCCTCTGTTTCCCCAGTTGGACCTCTATCCCTTTTCCTTTTCTCAATTCATGTCTTTCTCACTCTTCAAATCTCAAACTTAGTCTATTAAACAAAATTCTAATTGAAATGTTCAAGGGTAGAAACTGGGACTTTCTTAGGAAACAAACAGGATTACATACCTGGGTTTTTTTCTATAGTAAATCTGGCTGATTGTTAAAAACTCTCAATAAACTAAGTACTAAAGGAACATATCTCACAATAATAAGAGCCATGGATGACAAACTCACAGCCAATATCATACATACTGACTGAGCAAAAGCTGAAAGCATTCCCCTTGAAAACCAGCACAAGACAAAGATGTCCTCTCACCACTCCTATTCAACATAGAACTGGAAGTTCTGGCCAGGGCAATCAGGCAAGAGAAAGAAATAAAAAGGCCAGTCATGGTGGCTCACACTGGAATCCCAGCACTTTGGGAGGCCGAGGCAGGTGGACCACCTGAGGTCAGAAGTTTGAGACCAGCCTGGCCAACATGGCGAAACCCTGTCTCTACTAAAAATATGAAAAAATTAGCCGAATGTGGTGGTGTGCAACTGTGGTCCCAGCTACTCATGAGGCTGAGGCAGGAGAATGACTTGAACCCAAGAGGCGGAGGGTGCACTGAGCCAACATCACACCACAACACTCCAGCCTGGGCAGCAGGGGGAGAAAAGAAGGAAAGAAGGAAAGAAAGAAGGAAGGAAGGAAGGAAGGGAGGGAGGGAGGGAGGGAGGGAGGGAGGGAGGAAAGGAGGGAAGGAAGGAAGGGAAAGAAAGAGAGAAAGAGAAAGAAAAAGCAAGGAACAAAAGGAAGGAAGGGGAGGGAGGGAGGGAGGGAGGAAGGAAGGAAGGAAGGAAGGAAGGAAGGAAGGAAGGAAGGAAGGAGGGAGGGAAGAAAGGAAGGAAGGAAGGAAGGAAAGAAGGGAGGGAGGGAGGAAGGAAGGAAAGAAGAAACAAAGGGCATTCAGAGGAAGTCAAACTATTCATATTTGCAGGTGACATGATCCTATATCTAGACAGTAGATCTTGTCACCTAGACAAGATCCTATATCTAGAAAACTCCATCATCTCAGCCCAAAAGTTAGTTAAGCTGATAAGCAGCTTCAGCAAAGTCTCTGTATACAAAATCAATGTACAAAATTCTCTAGCATTTCTATACACCGCCAACAGTCAAGCCTAGAGCCAAACCACAAATGAACTCCCATTCATAATTGCCACAGATAAAAATCCTAGGAATACAGCTAACCAGGGAGGTGAAAGATCTCAACAAAGAGAACTACAAACCACTGTTCAGAGAAATCAGAGATGACACAAACAAATGGAAACACATGCTCAGAGATAGGAAGAATCAGTATCCTTAAAATGACCATACTGTCTAAAGCAATTTATAAATTCAATGCTCTTCCCATTAAACTACCATTGACATTCTTCACAGAACTAGAAAACTATTTTAAAATTCATATGGAACCAAAAAAGAGCCCGAAAAGCCAAGGCAATGCTAAGCAAAAAGAAGAAAGCTGGAGGCATCAGTCTACCCCACTTCAAACTATACTACAGGGCTACAGTAATCAAAACAGCATGGTACTGGTACAAGAACAGACATATAGACCAATGTGAAAGAATTGAGAACACAGGAACAAGACAGTACACCTACAACTATCTGATCTTTGACAAACCTGACAAAAACAAGCAATGGGGAAAGGACTCTCTATTCAATAAATAGTGCTGTGATAACTGGCTAGCCATATGCAGAATGGAAACTGGACCCCTTCCTTACACCAACATATAAGAACTACATTATTTTATAGCTTTCCTGAATGTCTATCTCTCTCTACCCAGCACCAACCCACGTTTCTGCATATGAAACTTACTCAAACCGTGATTGTTGAATAATAACTAAAATGATTAATATTTAGTTGAAAAAAGGAAGTTGCTTCTTTTTAGCCCAAAATTGATAGTTCCCTCCATTGTCTTAAGACTCTAGGTGAAACTTGTTTGGAAAAACAGAGGCTTGTGCATAAGCCAAACTTTGGAAAAGAATAAACCAACATATTATTAATATTGATTACTTTAAGTTGTATCTATGGATTTTTTTCATCCTGTAATTTTCCTATTTTCTAATTTCTGTTTAATAAATATATAGTATCATTGCATACACAAAGAAAAAGAATTCAGCCTGGATTATCAAGTTATCTTTGATAAGAACATCATAGCACTTCTAATATAAAATTAGCCAGAAATTTCTATAACTAATTAAACTTCGGGCTCAGTAAGGGTTTCATACATAGGGAATCTGCGCTGCCACCATTGCATCGTATAAACTGGAGATTTCAGCATCATTCTGGTATCCATAGCGACTCAGCTGGAATCCCAAGGCCCAGTATGGAATCATTGCTGGTCGACCGATCAACTAGAATAAAAAGAAAAATGCATCCAGATAGACTTCCTAGGAAAGAAAAGGTGGTTGACTTATACTTGAATCAAGTTGAGTGTTTCTGCTAAGTACTGTCTAAGAGGCCTCATCCAAGAAAGATAAGAAAGTCCAATAAGTGTGGAGAAACTATGGACATGCAGAATGATAGAAACATTATAATTGAAGTTTTCCTATATTCCAGGGTTTTCATTCTAGGAAATCTGATAATTTGCTGGTTATTACTGATTAGCAATTCTTAGATAGACTGTTCAACAATCTAGAGACATGTGGGATATTAATATGCCTTTATAGACCCATAATACTAAAATATGATTTTCAAAAAAGGCATAATAATCTAGTAGTGACACTGAAGAGTCAAAAGAAAAAATTGGCCTATCTCAGTGCTAATAATGTGGCAATAGTCAATAAATATTTGACAATATATTGATGGACAGAATGGCTTCTAACCTCTGTGTATTGCTGAGTTACAAGTTCAGGGGTTGGCCCCAAAACAATGTAAAAGTCCAAAATCCCTCCTGTGGTGCGGTATGTCAAGGCAGGAGTGGGCTGTAATGTCACATCTGTAAGAAAAACAATATACATGAGGCACATCCTTGGAGTTGTAAATCACCCAGATAGGAAACCTGCTCTAAAATTTGCTTTCTTCACGCTCTCTCTTTGATGTCTGCCTCCTCTAGAAAGTCTTCTCTTATCCATTGGAATCAGAGGTGTATTTGCAGGTACCCCAAATGTAATATGCAACCTCAACAACTTTTAAATATGCTGTGAATGAAAGCCAAAATGTCACAGTAAAATAGGCTATGCCAGAGTAGGAACCACAATTGGTCAAAATTCCATGCCTAAAACCCGATCCAGAGTAATTAATAAATCTTGAATAAATAGATGAGTAAATGGAAAGTCAGTTTATTTGTTCCATTTTCCTTGCCTCCTGAAGGTCTCTATTTCTACTTATAATCCAGGTCAAAATAGAATGGTCACAGCTGTTTCTGGTGGCACATGGGAGCTGTGCCTATGTCTTACCCATAGCATTGCTATTTAGCAGGAGCACTCCGTGGGCACTGCCATCCTCTTCCAGTGCCATGTAGTAAGGGTGGACACCATAGGAATTCTTGTTGTACTGGGAGTCATGAGGGTAAGAAACAAAAAGAAAATTCAAGATATTGTTTTCATACCATAACCCAAACAGCAAACTCTTGCTCATCATTAAAGATTCAGCTCAATGTCATGTTCCTTTGTCGGGCCTTCCTTGACCCTCCCTTTTACTCTAAGTAAAAAGCTGTTTCTTCTCCACTTTGTGCCTTCCTAGTTTATTGTTATATAATTAGGTGATTCCACTGTGCTATTTCTACCTCCATTTCTCTCACTAGCCTATAAGCCTCTGGAGAGCAAAGACAGTACCTTATTAAGTCTGTAGCTGGCCGGGCATGGTGGCTCATGCCTGTAATCTCAGCACTTTGGGAGGCTGAGGCGGGCAAATCACCTGAGATCAGGAGTTCGAGAGCAGCCTGGCCAATATGGTGAAACCCCGTCTCTACAAAAAATATAAATACTAGCCGGACAGGTTGGCACGCACCTGTAGTCCCAGCTACTTAGAAGGCTGAGGCACAAGAATCGCTTGAACCCAGGAGGCAAAGGTTGCAGTGAGCCAAGATTATGCCACTGCACTCCAGCCTGGGAGACAGAGCAAGACTTGGTCTTAAAAAAAAAAAAAAAAAGAAAATCTGTAGCTAAGCACATAGCAATGTGCCTGACACATAGAATATATTAAGTAAAAGTTTGTGAAATAAATAAAATCCATAATTCATAGAGGGAAATATATATATAATATACATATATGCCTTTTAGGGACAAAAGAATGTGACATGTGGCCTATTACAACTGAGAGCAGAATTTATCAGAATAAGATGAAGTTGATGAGCAATGTGTCATATAGAAGCATACGGATTAAAATAGATTTACATTGAGAGAAACTGATTGCTAAACTTATTCCATTGACCCTACCGCAGGTGGCTCATCACGAGCAAACATCCCCCAGGTGTTCCAGTTCATGTCTCTTCTGAAAGTTGTGTGCTCAGTTTCCCCAAAGCCATAGATGTACTGAGAGGGCAGACGTGTAGAAATGGAGAGAAACGTGTCATTGAAGGTGAAGCCGGGGAGTTGAGAATCCCAACTGCAACACAAAAACAGATCACGCTGAGTTGGAGACCACTGGCCAGAGCTCCTTGGAATGTGTTTGAAATGTCTAATTGATTCCAAAGCCTCCTGAATTATTGCACATTTAGATACAGGTTCAAATACTGTGACATGACCCAGATCATAACAATGGCCCCGACTCAGTACCAAAGTTCCATGTTCACATTTCTGTTCTGTGGTTTGTCAGACTGAGAGCTCCTTTTCTGGGAACTTGAGGGCAAAAGCCATGACTCCTTCTATTTATTTCAAGTTTTCAGTGCCTGGCATATCAGCTTGAATAAATATATAAATAAACAAATAGGGTTTAAGCAAATTTTCCAGTGGGAAATTGTGAAAGTCGTAGAACAAGTTCTCTGAATTGGCCAAAGGCCTTGTTACCAGAGAGAACAACAGAGGAAATCACTTGCATAGCCAAAGAGAGAAGACATATATGAGAAGGCAAAGGTGCACATGCAGGTAACAGCGTCTACTGGGATGGGGAACTTCACCCCAAGCAAAATCCAGACCTTCACTTCATTCTATTCAGCAGCAGGACAAGAGATGGGAGATGACAATTCCTTTATGCTTAACATTGCCAAAAGGTTTTAAGGCTTTTGTGTCCACAGAATCAAATATTACAAGAAGCTATTTCTTTCTCCTTTTTAAACTTTGCTCCTCTCTCCTGCCTCTTATTATTTCTTAATGAGTCATAGTATGGAACTCATTTGTATCTTAGGTTATCTGCTGTACTTATTGAGTTTTCTGTTCTACTTAAGAACAATAAGTAGAACATGTATTTTTCTTTCTCTGAAATCAAACAATACTTCATTTCTTTAAAGATGGATTAAGTATTTTTGTTAGTGACTAACCAAAAACAAATTACTCATTAAAGCATGGAAAAATAGATACACTCTTAACAAATGCACACATATTTACACAGAGTCTCTGAGATTAATATTTCACTTGACTTAATTGTAACCACTATAGTTAAATCTAGAACTACTCTAATAAGAGCCAAATAAGTAGTGCTTACATCACAGTGCTGGAGGTTTTGCGTCGAATCTGGATTCCAAAAGGATTGTTCTGAATCCTGACATCATACAGACGGTTTTCAGGGTCATGATCTGGTTGGGGAGGGGTGTTCAGTGGCACTGGGACTTCATACCTTTTATTAGTGGGGTCATAGATCTGGCAAGAAGAGAGAAGAAAGATTTCTGGTAGGGTCTCAGACCTAAAATCCATCATGCTAGCCCATATAATTCAGATTCCATGTTTTTTGGCCAGTTTGCACCTTATCAGTAGACATTGAACATCCCCAAGCGAATGGATGTGAGGCCTGCCTGCCCACCGTGTCCCATACAGATGCTGAAGTTCAAAAATGCCCCAGTAAAATCCATTCAAAGCCAGGGAGGGCTCTTCCTCTAAAGAACTTGTGACAGAAAGATATAGAATGTCATAAATAGAATGTGTGTGTACCTGTTTGTAAGTGTGTGGCATGTAGACATGTATGTGCATAAAACTGTAAAATTGTGTCTATATGCATGTTAGGTATTAAAGAATTGGGTTTTCCTATGGACTCTGAGAACTCCTTGCTGTTTGAGCTTCCAGATGCTGCTCAGCTTTCCCATTCCTAACGTTTCTCTTCTGTATCCACCCCTTGTTCCTACCTACCTATCAGGACTGATGTGTGGGAAGAATAAAAGGAGTGAAAAGTGTTATTCAAGTACAAGGAGTATCACCAACATGAGTGACCATCCTCTTCCTCATGTTATAGCCCCAAATTTATGTTTAGGTAAAGGCTTTTCTTTTTTTTCCTCTTTTGAGACGGAGTCTAGTTCTGTTGCCAGGCTGGAGTGCAGTGACGGGATCTCGACTCACTGCAATCTCCACCTACCAGGTTCAAGCAATTCCCCTGCCTCAGGCTCCTGAGTAGCTGGAACTACAGGCATGCACCACAACGCCCAGCTATTTTTTGTATTTTAGTAGAGACAGGCTTTCATCATGTTGGCTGGGATGGTCTCACTCTCCTGACCTCGTCATCCACCCACCTCGGCCTCCCAAAGTGCTGGGATTACAGGTGTGAACCACAGTGCCCGGCCAGGTGAGTTTTCTAAAGTCCTTCTTGTCAAAATTATGTTTCTTAGACCCAAAGCAGCAGCATTGCCTTTGAGCTTGTTAGGAATGCAGAACCTCAGGCCCTACCACCCCAGATTTTCTGAATTAGAACTCTCATTTTCACAAGCTGCTCCAGTGATTCATGATACCTTAAAATGTGGAAAGCAATGGCTAAAGCTGAGCTGTCCGAGGTGCTGTCCACAAGCCACACGTGGCCTTTGAGTGCCTCACATGTGCTAGTCTGAATTGAGATTCACTGTAAATGCAAAATACACACCAGATTTTGAAGACTTAGTATAATTAGAAGATTGCTTCAAGATGAGATTTGGGTGGGGAAAAAAAGAAAAAAAATTTTTAAATAGAAGATTGCAAAGTGTCTCCATTAAATTTTGATTTCAAGGTGAAATGATAATATTTTTAGGACATTGATTAAATATTATTAAAATTCATTTCACTTTTAAAATATACATTTAAAAATGCATCTACTGGAAAATATGCATGGCTCACATCGTATTTCCAGTAAATGTTCTTTTTAAATGTTCATAGCAGTGGGTCTCAAAGTGTGGCCTCTTGACCTGCAGCATCAGCCTCACCTGAGAGCTTGTTAGAAATGCAAATTCTCAAGGCCGGGCACAGTGGCTCATGCTTGTAATCCCAGCACTTTGGGAGGCTGAGGCAGGTGGATCACCTGAGGTCAGGAGTTCAAAACAAGCCTGGTCAACATGGTGAAACCCCGTCTCTACTAAAAATACAAAAAAGTATTCAGGCATGATGGTGGGCACCTATAATCCCAGCTACTCGAGAGGCTGAGGCAGGAGAATTGCTTGAACCAGGGAGGCGGAGGTTGCAGGGAGCCGAGATCTCACCACTACACTCTGGCTTGGGCAACACGAGCAAAACTCCATCTCAAAAAAAAAAAGCAAGAAGGAAGGAAGGAAGGAAGGACAGAAGGAGGGAGGGAGGGAGGGAGGGAAGAAGGAAGGAAGGAGGGAAGGAAGGAGGGAAGGAGGGAAGGAAGGAAGGAGGGAGGGAGGGAGGGAGGGAGGGAAGAAGGAAGGAAGGAGGGAAGGAAGGAGGGAAGGAGGGAAGGAAGGAGGGAAGGAAGGAGGGAGGGAGGGAGGGAGGGAGGAAGGAAGGAGGGAAGGAA